ATATCAGTTGAATAATATTATACTTTCAAATCGAAATCAGTATTGTTGGTGTTTTTTCTGATGAAAATATGTTCTTTATAACTTTTTTGTAATAGAACTATAAAAGCAACCTAAAGGCACCCAAGTACAAATTAAAAATTGAAAATTTTCGATACTGCACTTACCACTTTGGCTTGGCTTTCTCGAAAATCTCCACTGAGCATTGCCTTCATGACATCACATCGTGCTGCCAGCATTGCCTTGTGAGCAGTGCAGGCTCCATCATCAAGTTCGAATATGACGTCTGCAAAAAGGCCTTGATCCAAACAGACATCCTGTAAACGCCCCTTGAGGAAATTTTCGTAAGTGTCATCGGGAGGGTCAGGGGCAACAAAAGGATGTTTTGTGAGCAGTATCAATAATTGGGGCAACTCCAGAAATTCCGCAGCCTCACAGGTTTCCTGAAACGTAAGAAACACTCTTACGTCTGCATTTTTCAAAAGAACCATAATATTGACAGTGATAATTATAATATTTGTAACAATATTGTTGAGAAGAGATGACCACTAATCAAGGGTCGATCCATGATTTGGGTCTAGGAGCATACCCTTGATCTCTGAATCTAAACTTATTACCAAACACGAAGTAGAAAACATTTAGAAATTAATTTGTACAAAATTATTCGTAAATCAAATCTGTCTCACGACTGTGTCAATATGAGATACGACAAGAAAATAAGTTTTGGGAAAGGAAGTTTTTTGCTTTCTACTACTTCATCTTTATACAAAAGAAAAAATGGGAATCTTCCAAAGAAAGGAAAGAAGCAATCAATTTCAAAAGAAGTAACTCTTTATATTGAAGTGTAGAGTAGATCACGCGAAGAAGTAACTTTCAGACACAAACTGGATAAAAAAGCTCTTCTTAAACAGCTACTCTCATATAAACATTGAATTACACAAAAGAAAAATTCTTTCGAAACAAATACTTTTATATGAACACTGAATTATACGAAAGGAGACTTGTCTACTCAGTTTGTATTTCAGATATCATTCACAGGACTTCTACACAAAGTACTAAAAAAAAGAAGGTAAAATTTCACTTACATGGAACACTGTCTTCCTCACTGGTAGACATCGATGTTTCGTCGTAAGATTAGTACTGAAGAGCCCTGAGGTAAGTGTCTTACGACGAAACAGCGAGTTTAGGTGACATTTTATACCTTTCATTTAGTAAACTGAGTAGAAATCCTGTGAATGATATCTGATTTAATTCCATAACGAATGTTTGGAATACAAACTGAGTAGAACAAAGTATCTTTTTGTATAATTCAGTGTTTATATAAAAGTATTTGTTTCGAAAGAATTTTTCTTTCGTGTAATTCA